CTGTGCTAACCGGAACCCAAAACGCATGATTATAGGAATCTTTGGAGGAATAAACAGTTTAGGACTGTAAACGAAAAAAATAGAAGTCAGAACATCCACGACCAAAATGCAAATGTTGTTACCACGTTGTGTACTTTAACTGCTAAACTGCCACAGGAGAGAAGAGGACACCATCTGAGAATCAGGCTGCAACTTGTTTATTGGTTGCATATGAACTCAAAAAAGTGACTGATGGAGGCGTTCAACTGGTTTTCTCTTTCTCGATTCTCTTTCTGCTATTAAATTGAGTCAAACTTACCGGATGTATGCACAGTTTGCTTTAGTTGAACACTCCGGTAAAAAAGGTTCTGATTTTTGTCAAAAAGTCAGCCACCTAGAGTCAAGTGCAAATTTTTCTAAGTGCTGGGAGTGGAAAGCAATTTCACGTGGCACCATGCTCAAGCTCACAGAACATACAGCAAAGTCGCTAAGCCATTCTCTCTTTGGTAGCTCCTGTATGAAACTTCGTTCCGTGTCTTCCGTGACTCGTGAGTGTGGGAATCTTTCAGTTCTTGTTGCTAATTCCCTAGAGACAATCTAAGGCCGCAATCTAATTGGTCAGTATTTTTTGCCTCAGATCGCATTACACCTTGCGTTTAGGATCGTTGAATGAAAGACGCAAATTTTCGTAAAAGTTTATCCCGTGGTATTATATTATCCATGGTTTTGCTCTCGCTCCACTCGCTAGGAAACCCGTTGAGGTCTACTTGTAACAAGTCTATGAATCCAGTTGCGTTTCGGAAAAGTGACTTCCTGTTGTGTTTTTGGATTGCATTGTTAGAAAGTATCGAGTAAAGAACACACTACTCAGTAAGGTGTTTTGTTTGCTATATATCAACGAAGAACATTGGTGTTTTGCTTCGTAATATTTAAGTCCTTTAATTTTCATAGAATAAATGTTATGGAGCAGCGTGGTGTTCGGGATCGACTAAAGGAAATACGTCTGCAAAATGCCGAAAATCACGTGTATAGGCAAGCATCAAATCAACAAACTCGAAACACGCAGGAACATACAATATTGCTATTTGTGATGGAGTAGGAAAAAGGTACAGACGATTGAAATTATTTTGGAGTGAAACGACTCTTTCATTATTTGGTTCGTGACACGCTTCATTTTACATATCAGATAAAATAATATGACGATGACACATATGAACATCGGAATGTCAACCAGCTCCGATTGAATCGGCAAAGTTTTTATCGTAATCGGAAACG